CAGAAAAGGTTTTCGAAGTGAGTCTGATTTGTGTGGAACATAATTTGTTTGATCTTTTGGATCTATAAACAGAGCTGTAGATAGCAATGATCTGAAGCGTTAATTGCATCTCAGTAATGGCTGTAGTTTCAAGGATCTGAGATTTAGTGATATCTTGAACTGTTAGTTTTACGTGGTTTTATGCTACATTGAACTGCTTTTAGGACAGCAAAGCCTATCAGTTAGCTGAAGTAAAGATTTCAAAGAGGTCCCGAATCGGAATATTGGAAAGCATCGATCAGTTTGTGGTAAGTTTCTTTTTGTTGTATATTGAATTTCGGTATGCGATGCTTCGTGTACTTTTCAGAAGTTTTTGCCTCTTGTGACTTACAGATTAAAAAAATTTCAACTATTTTAGGAGGTAGCTAGTACGGCCGAAATGGCGTTTTCGGGAACTGAGCGTCGTGCAGATTTGGATCGATGGTATACACAGCTGATAACTTCATTGAAAGACGGTATTGAACATACAGCAGTTTCCCCGTTCTCGAAATCACCACCGGCGGTTGTCCGATTCGAAAACTATCATCATTTATACTGTATGTTTCAGCTTCTGTATTTACTGCTTGTCCCCTAGCATTCAGTGTTCCAAACTGGCAGTGCACACGTTTCTGCTCCTGTCAACCAGCTTTACTGCAGTGCTGCTGCTTTTGCAAGCCTTTCTTGGCGTTGCTGAAAATTTTTTTTATCAATGGTTGATGTGTGCGTTGTCACAAAGGTTATCGTTACCACGTTTTTTTACACTGTTCGCTCCAATATTCCTGAAACACTCTCGCATGACAAATGCAGCTATTACGGGTCCTGCATAGAACCCGACCTTCCGCTCACTTTCTGTATGATATTTTTTAATTTGATTTCGTTGTAGCGGTCTTGTCGGAGCTGAAAATTGATTGCTTGGATGCGCAAAGGAAAGAAGCAAAGAAAGCTTATCAGGATAACATGCAAATTTACGTGAAAGAATTGATGGGTCGACCACTTGAGAAAATACATGTTAGTACTGTATTTTGTTAGACCTCTGAAATGCAAAGGCACTATTGTTTTCCTGTTTATTTTTGTTTCGCTTGTTTTGAATTTTTTTTAAAAACACTTTTTTTTTTGGAGAGATTAAGCCAAAAGAGCTATCTGTCCTTTTTAAGGGGCAAAATGTGGTGGAA